CTTAAAAGCTAGCAAGCTGCCATCTAGATGCAACGATGGGTCTCTCCTTGTCAAGAAGGAAGAAGAAAACCAAAATTAATGGAAACAATCAGTCCTGGCGACTGGTACACCATCCGATCTGCAACCTATACAACTATGAGACCAGAAGAACTAAATGATGCCCGGCTACCACTGTCATCCACTTGGAAGGGATGTAGGAGATCCTGCATAGAGAGGGAGAACAATGTCTAACAAAACTCAAAATCATTTGAAGGCAAAAAGAAGGTTGGGACCAGGTTTGCTGGTTCAATAGAGCCTGGTGGAAGCACTGAGACTATGGCCCCTAGCTGCCCTTCAGGTCTGGAATTGAAGCCCCACCTGTGGTTTACAGCCAAACAGAGTACAGGCATGTGAGTTAAACATTTACCTCAAGTAGACACACGTCCTGGAGAGAACAATCATGGGAGAAAGAAGGGTTGTTTATGCACAGGTAGACAGCTCAGGTGGCAGGAGAGTATGGAAGGATGGAACACTGGGAAGAGGTAACTATGGGGAGCAAGTGGGAGGGGAACTGTTGCAATGTGGTAAACTGTGGTCAGTGACATGAGACAAAAGTATATGTGAACTGCTGTATGGAAAGTAAATTTGCTTTTGTAAATCTTCACCCAAATCAAAATATTTAAAAAAAATAAGAAAGAATATCATCTGAAAAAAAAAATGCAATAGAAAAACTTTTCTCTCTCTTAAATGTTACAGGCAGAACAAGCGGCTATAACTTCTGATTTTGAAAGCTACAAAGTCCGAGTTCATAATGTTCTAAAACAACAGAAAAGTAAATCTGTGTCTCAGGCTGAAACCGAGGGTGCTAAACAAGAAAGGTAAAGTCTAAGTCAAAGGAAACATGCATAGTTTACCCTCCCCCAAGGGAGGTTCTTTAAAAGTAGGTTGAAAATCCTGCTTTGATTTCTTTTGCCTATGAATTTGTTTCTTGGCCTCACTGATCTCCAGAATAGTAACAGAGAAATGTCACTACTAGGGGCACTAAAGCTCTAAAAGATATGTTAAAGTGAACAGTGAAGCTAGAATGTAGTCTAAGAGATGTAAGCCAAAGTGTTAATAGGATCTGGTAAGGATATAGGCATTAATTTGGCTAAACAAATTACTTAAAGACATTTTACTTATTTCAAGAAGTCTTAACTTAATTTTGGTCTAGAATTAAATTTTCATCTTAAATTTATAACCATTTCAAATACTATTTGAATAATATATCATTTAATGCTTCTTTACACCCAGCATGCAGATTGCTTTTGTAAATTACTCAAAAATATGCTGGGGACAAGTTACTTTAAGGGGATTCTCTGGTGTGTGTGTAGCAAGGATTGTGAAGCTGGCACAGCACCGGGCAGTGTTTTGTTCTGCTGTACATAGGGTCGCTATGAGTCAGAGCCAACTTGACGGTGCCTGACAACAACAACAACATGGTGTGTATGTGTTCAAAGCAATTTTACATCTGCTGTCACTATTCTAAACAGGACTAAATATATGTTTATGCTGCTCTAACTTTTTGTTTAGGAATATAAAATATGAAGCCACTAGGCTGAAAAATAGATATTTTCTGTACAAATAGTGAGCTTATTTTTTAAAGCTGACATTGATTTTTGACACATGTAATAAATCAATATAAAACTGACTGTAAGAGTCATCTGGTCATGGCTGAATTTTGCGTTCAGGTTATTCAAATGTAAATATTTTAAGTTCTTTCAGCTCTTAGACATTAAGTGTTTTGTTTTGAAGGAATCTATGTATTATACTGATTGTGGCAAAATTAAGTATTTTAACTGTTTGATTTTCGACTAGTTTTCAATTCTAAGTCTGAAAAGACCTCTTTTCTTCAGGGATTTTATGTTATTATACCTTGATTTAGTGTAATATTCTTATACAACAGTGACCTTTTTTTAATACTTGTTTTAACAAAATGGCAATATTGGTTTTATCTTAGACTAATTATATGATGCTCTAACATAAAATAAGCTATTTTTATGACTACAATGTTTGTATATGAAATTCATAAATTCATAGACATTTTTATAAATCTTTAGTGCCTGAGATCTGAAATCTGACTATAATGTTTACACATTATATTTAATACTAATCTCTGAATGTCTCTGATTATTATATTTCCCCTACATTCTTCCATAATAATAACAAAAGTATGACTGAAAAATTGCAGGTTCACCTCTTTCAAAAAAATTTTAAATGGCTTATATGTGTTCTAGGGAGCACCTGGAAATGCTGATTGATCAGCTAAAAATCAAATTACAGGATACTCAGAATAATTTACAGATTGGTGCATCTGAACTTCAAACATTACAATCTGAACATGATACTCTGCTGGAAAGGCACAACAAGATGCTGCAGGAAACTGTGTCCAAAGAGGCAGAACTCCGAGAAAAGTAAGGTTGCACTAGCACTGTTTATACCAGGCACTAGAGTTCTTCTTTGTTGGAACTGTTAATGTGTTGTTCTGTGGAATGAATACACATTAGAAAATAAGAAATCACTATTTGTAAATTCTTGATAACTTTGTTTATTCTACCTTAAAGCTCCCTCTTGGATTGTTTTTCTATTTAACATTCTCAAGAATAATTAGTGTTTATCTGTTCATCCAGTGTTCTGTAACTCTTACGGCCTTCACAGTCAGGGTGTTCCCAAAAAAATGCTGTCCAAACCAAGTGTCAAATTACAAGCAATTTTTCTTTTTATAGAGGAAAACATTTGAATAACTGCTGACAGAAAAAGAAACTGCAGCTTATTTTTGCAACTCTGTCTTCAGTTTGTCACATTTTTATGCTTTTGTTAATCTTTATAATATTTCAAATATATTTTAGGGATATTGGCAGAATAAACATTGTGGATATAGAAATTTAGATTTCTATAATAAAGATATTAGGTGACAGTATTTGTTCTATCTTTGAGTAGAAGGAGAATTCTTTATTAAACATCTTTCTTCAGTGATGTTAGGATAAATTATATATCTCAGGTACGCTTACAAGTTCATAATCTTAGGTTAAGCACTTAGATTTTCTTGACTTTGTAATCTATAAATAATACTGCTAACACAAAGGAAGTACAACTGATAACCCCTGAAGTAATTCCATCATTCAGTAACATCGAGTACATGCCAGTTACTCATTTAAGTGCTGGAAACTGTTCATAGCATTTGAGATGTCTTTACGGATTCCCCCTCTTCTTCAGAAATATCAGAATCTAATGGTATTGTTATTATCCGTGCTGTAGTATGAAGACTTTTCTTTATATACTTTCTGCTTTTTAACCATTCTAATATTCCTATCTTCTCTGTAGCAATGCTAGCATAAGATTATACAACACTCCACAGGAATGTGGTAATTAGGCTGGTTAGCTAATGTTTGCATCAACCAGAGGAGTCCAGCTAATATAAACACCAGAACAGTGAACTTCCATTAGTTCAGTTGTTCCAGTTCCAGATATGGGATTTAAGAATGTAGGTTTCAAGTAGGTACATTTAAAAGTGATACCAGTAACTCCTGAAAACTAAAAGCCTTGCCTTGACATTAAAATGTAGCTTTTTCTCTCCTTACAAAATAGTTGACTGCAGATGGTGCTTCCTTTACAAGATTCTTGGTAGCTGTTGTATGAACAAAATGTTGGCAGAAAAATGAAGGTTCAAAGAGTAACATATAAACAAATATTCCTTAAATTCATTCAATATTATGAACTTGGCAATTAAGATAACTTTTCTAAAACATGGTATTTTCATTGCATATCTCCTTTCAGCCACAAAATCTTTTTTAAAAACCTTATGTGGTATTCCTATGTAAAACACATAGGAAAAGGTCTTAGAAAGATACACAGTGTTAGTAGTGTTTACATCTAGGATTGAGGTTTTACATGTAGGGGGTGGGTGTGGGTGTGGGAAGTGAGGAAAGGGAGACTTACTTTTTTCTCTAATTAGTTCTGAACTTTTTATGAGAATGTAGTTATTAATCCCTTCAATTTTACTAAAACCAAAAGTGAAACATCAGCACTACAAGGAAACCATTGCAAATAGTGATTCCTGAATAGAGTGGGAGGAAAAATGTGGAACAAAACTCAAAAACACAGTAATGTCCAAAATTACTTGGTCAGATGGAGTCTGGTAGGACTCCCAAGAGTATGACCCTGAGAGAACCTTTGGGCCTGCAGTAGGACTCACTCCCAAGGACTGGCCCTCACCCCAGCAGCAGAAAGAATTACATGCAGAACACCCAGCCCAGGGCAATGCACCCACCTACTCTACGGAGATACATCCCTTGGAGCAGTCAGCCATGGGGCACCAGAGGGGAGCATTCACATGGTGGGAAAGCTAGACAGACAGGAGTGCATAGTTAACAAGGACACTGGGAGGTGGTGGGGGTGTGGATCATAGGGAAGGGAGAGGAAGAGAGTGGGCTAGGGCTGTGGATGGTAATCCGGACGTGAAATCATATGTACACAAACTGTTGAGTATAAAATAAATTCTGCTCTATAAATTTGCAACCAAAGAACAATTTAAAAAATAAGTAAATAAAAATAGTGGTTCCCAAATTATAGGTCCACTGACTAAAGTCAGGCTGACTACATAAAAGTCACCTGGGGAAGCTGCCAAAAGTAGAGATTCCTGGGACCACTTAAGAACATTCTGACTGAGTGGCTCTAGGATGACCAGTAGATGTCTGTTTTTAACATGACACTCCAGTGACTTGGATGTGTAGTAAGATTTGAAAGCAGCTTTAGAATTTTCTTTTAATTGGCTAAAAATAGATAGTTTTATTTAGGCTTTCTTTATGAGACACAAGTGTTTCCTATTTCAAGGTAATAGAGAAAGATAGTTTAATCATACATTTACATGAACTACCATATAAGATGACCTAAAGGAGTGGACTGTTTAAAACTATATTCATTTTTTGCTCTAAATACAGCTCTGTTTTCTGATATACCAGGAAAGGAGTCCCTCTTCAGAACCACAGAACACAATTTTCACCAAGATTACTTGTCTGAACTATAAAACAAAACAAACCCCAGCCCACTGCCATGAAGTCAATTCTGACTCAAAGTGACCTTGTAGGAATAGAAACACTGCACCACAGGGGCTCCATCTGAACTATGATACAAAAATGATTTAAAAAATCATTTGAATTAGATGGCAACCAATGTCAGTTCTCCCAAGGTTGTTTACAACTAGTACTAATATAGATACATAGAGAAGTTAATTCATACCTTCAGTGGATGCCTTGAGACATTCTCTCATAGACCCCAATTGAGAAAGACCAAGTCAGCATAAAAAGTTGACAGATTCTACAAAGTAAGTTTATCTTATCATTAGGTTGTGTTCAATACAGTCAGAGAACATGACAATGAAGTCTGACTATGCACAGACTGTGAGTCAGCTAACATCCCAGAACGAGGTCCTTCGCAACAGTTTCCGCGATCAAGTGCGACGTTTGCAAGAAGAGCACAGAAAGACAGTGGAGACTTTGCAGCAACAGCTTTCCAAGGTTGAAGCTCAGCTCTTCCAGCTTAAGAGCGAACCAGCCACAAGAAGTATGTATGTATGTACTTATGGAAGTGTGTTGTTTATGTTCTTGTGTGTTTATGGTACTTCACAAATTCTCTTTAAGTATAAATTTTACTAGGTAGTAACCATAACCAGTTTGTTAGGTAATTGATGAATTTAGGGCTTTTTTATTGGGAATATAATTGAACACTTGATTATACTTATAGCAACTCATATAATCTTGTAGAATTCTGGTTTTTATATATTTATTACCCTTTAGGTAAAGGAATATTTAATTTTATCTGACTTAAACATACTTCTGTCAGTCTCATGATGTGTATCTTCATTCTGTATTCTAACTAGAAACATTAGCAAGAGAACAAGTCACTTAGAAACACTCAACCAGAACTGAACTTGTAAAAATTTTTTGACTAATACAAATACTTCCCTTTCTAATCCACAATTAGTTGGAATGTTAGTTCATCCATATCTAATATCTTCCATTCTACTTCTGGGGGGAAAAAAATGGTAAAATATCAGCAAAAATTAGGCTATATTTTAATAGTAAATTGGTGTGTTTTTTGTTTCCTTTGGAAATTGTACCGGGGCATTGACAATAGCAGATCACTTGTCAGGGTGGGAAACCAGCTTCAAGATAATTTATCATATGCCAAGAGTCAACAAAGAAAATAAGCACCCAGGCAAACACAGATTGCACAAGAGATTGTAATCTAGGAATTAGCACTGGAATGTGGAATAAGCAGTTAGCAAAATAATAGAAATCAAGGAAAGAAGGGCAACCAGAGGACTGGGGTTTGAAAGAACAAGGGTGGCAACTTAGTGGAATAGAAAATAAATGAAATTTGAAGTTAAAAGGTTAGGGTTTAAATTCTGGACCTTGGCTTAGCTATGAGACCTTGGGCACAGTCATTTAATTCTTCTGAATTTTGGGTTCCTTGGGATTAAGTAAGTAAAGTGTTTGAATGTGTCTTGTAAGCCTTAAAGTTCTATGCAAGTATTAATTATCAGCAAGCAGGAAAGCATTTCTTAGGAAATATAATCAGTTAGGTACCTACCCTGGATTCTGGGCTTTTCTTGTTTGAACACTGTAGATGAGTAATAAATAGGCTGTTGGAACACAGCAGGGATAACTAGTGTGAGTGCAGATGATCAATAAGAATTTATGGGAACGAAATTTCAACAGGTATATTGTATCAAAAATATGCAACTATAATCTTCAAAAATAGCTAGACTATAGTTTTAGAATTTCTCCCAATATTTAGCAACAGTATAGCCCTCTACCCTTTATTAATAGTACTATATTACCAAATTTGTTTACTTAACAGTTTATCTTATGTAGCTGCTGCTGCTGTTGTTGTATACTATGGAATTCATTCCAACTTATGTGACCCCATGTGACAGAGTAAAACTGGCTCGTAAGGTTTCCTAGCTCTTTACAGGAGCAAATTGTCAGGTCTTTTCTTCAGGAGAGTGGCTGTTGTTGTTGTTCTGTGCTGTCGAGTCGGACCTGACTCATGGCAACCCCTCCTTGGGTTTTCAAGGCAGTATCATTATGAAAGTAGATTGCCCCATCTTCCTTCTGTGGAGTGGCGGGTAGCTTTGAATTGCCATTCTTCAGGTGAACAGCCAAGGAGCTCTGGTGGCACAGTAGGTAAGCCATTTTTGGCTGCTCACCAGAAGTTCAGTGGTTCAAACCCAACAGCTGTTCTGCAGAAGGAAGATAAGGTAGTCTACTTCTGTAAAGATTTACAGCCTTGGAAACCTAATGAGGGTCAATATGAGTCACAGTCGACTTGATGGCAGTAGGTTTGGTTTTGGGGTTTTTTTAGGTTAGCAACCAAGTACTTAACCTTTATGCCACCAGGGCTCCTTCTTACATAGCTACTAGAGATTAATTTATACTTTCTGCTAAAGTGATTTAAGCAATTAGAAGTTCAATAACTAAATTTTTAAACCTGTTTTAGAAATGCTTTCTTTGTATACCATACTTCTTTTCCAGTTTTCTATTTCCATTCATTATCATTTGACATCCCTAGGTGGTTCAAACCCACCAGCCACCCCTCAGAAGAAAGATGGGGCAATCTAATTCTGTAGCAATATTGCCTCAGAAACTCAAGGAGGGGTCGCTATGAGTCAGGGCAGACTCAACAGCACATAACAACAACAACAGGATCATTTGAATTTCACTGTATATCTCTGTTAATGTTGAATCCATTGGTTATGAACAGTCTCACAAGTATCCTTGAAAAATTAATAGGCCCAGCTTCTTCCAACCAACCTTTGAAGAGCCTTCGAGAAAGGAGAAACACAGACCTTCCCCATCTGGATATGCATGCCATAACCAGGGAGGAGGGAGAAGGAATGGAGACAACTGATATTGAGTCTGTGTCTTCTACCAGCACTCACACACAGTCTTTAGAGCAGCTTCTTAATTCTCCTGAAACTAAACTTGGTACGTTACTTTTTTTAAAATATGTTTTTCTTATCTAATTTTGCTATATTGCTTGATAAATGTTACCTCAAGTTATAAATGCTTTTAGATGTTACTCTCATTAAATTCATTTTAGTATTCCACCCTTATTCAAATAGAAAACTTTCTTAAAGGATTAAAAGAAAAAAAAAATTTAAAAAGAAAATGGTAGCTCTGCTGTAGAAGTTTATGTTGTTGTAGTTGGATGCTGTCAAGTTAATATACTAACCCACAGCAACCTCATGAGACAGTAAAACTGCCCCCATAGAGTTTCATAGGCTGTAATCTTTGTAGAAGCAGATCACCAGATTTTTTCCATATAGCCACTGGGCAGATTCATGCCACCAGCCTTTCAGTAGTCAGCAGCCAATCACTTAACCATTGTGCCACCAGGACTCTTTTGAAAATTCTATCGTGGTAATGAAAAGTAGAATAAATTATTCTCTCACCCTTCTAAGAAATTGACAATTTCAGTTTATTCCTCTTTTATTTATAATGAGTATTAATGTTTTCACAATTGAGGAAGAATCTGTCATCTTTCTGGAGTTTCAGTATCATCTGGAGTAAGGGCAGTTTGTATCCACACTCACTGAATGTAGTGGTGGTAGTATTAGGTACCACCAAGTAGGTTCTGACTCATGGCAACCCTGTTTACAACAGAACAACACATTTCTCAGTCCTGTGCCATCCTTATAATCATTGCTGTTTTTGAGCCCATTGTTGTAACCACTGTGTCAATCCATCTTCTTGAGGGTCTTTTTCGCTAACCCTCTACTTTACCAAGCATGATGCCCTTCTCCAGGGACTTGTCCCTCGTGATAATATGTCCAAAGTACGTGAGACAGAGTTTCACCATCCTCATTTCTAAGGATCATTCTGGCTGTAGAAAGGGAATTGTTCACCAACACCATAATTCAAGGGTATCAGTTCTTTGGTCTTCCTTATTCAGTGCCAGCTTTCACAAGCATGTAAGGTGATTGAAAATACCATGGCTCCAGTCAGGTGCACCTTAGTCTTCAAAGTGCCATCTTTGCTTTCTAACAATTTAGAGAGGTGTTTTGGAGCATCTTTGCCCAGTGTAATACATAACTTGATTTCTTAACTGTTATTTCCATGGGTGTTGATAATGGATCCAACTAAAATGAAATTTTCCACAACTTCAATATGTTCTCCCTTTATTGATCCTGTTGTGAGGATTTTTGTTTTCTTTACATTGAGGTGTAATCCATACTGAAGACTATAGTCTTTGATACATTAATAAATGTTTCAGGTCTTCTTCACTTTTAGCAAGCAAGGTTGTGTCATCTTCATATCACAGGCTGTTAATGAGTCTTCCTCCAGTTCTGATTCCACATTCTTCATATACTCCAGCTTCTCAGATTATTTGCTCAGCATAAAGATTGAATAAGTATAATGAAAGAATACAACACAGATGCACACCTTTCCTGACTTAAAACCACACAGTATCCTTTTCTTTGGTTCAAATGGTTGCCTCTTAGTCTATGTGTAGGTTCCTCATGAGCTCAATTAAATATTCTGCAATTCCCATTCTTCTCAGTATTACTATTCTTAATAATAATAGTAACTTCAATGTTTTCTCTGTTTATTGGTCAAGTTTGTGAGAATTTTTGTTTTGTTTATGTTGAGGTGTAATCCATATTGAAAGCTGTAGTCTTTGATTGTCATCAGTAAGTGCTCCAAGTCCTTTTCACTTTTCGCAAGTGAGGTTGTGCCATCTGCATATCACAGATGGTTTCTAGGTAGGATATACTCAAGGTCATACTTGATAAGGCTTTCGTGGACTTGTTTTAGTTTTCTTCACCTTCAAGTTGAACTTGTACATGAGTATTTGAAGGTCTATTCCACAGTCATTCCCTGGCCTTGTTCTGACTGATGATATTGAGCTTCTCCATTGCCTCTTTCCACAGATGGAGTCAATTTAATTTCTGTGTATTTCTCCAGCAATAGGGTCAAGGCTTTGAAATTGCAAGTCATAGTTACTTCAATAGTGGTTAGATGGTGGCATCAGACTCTTGAATCAGACTTGGTGTTGTGGTTTTCAACAAATTGGTTATCTATACTAAGGCTGTTGCCTTATCTGTGAAATCTGCATACTGATACCTATTGTTGTTGTTAGGTGCCATCAAGTTGATTCTGACTCATGGCAACCCTATGTAGAACAGAATAAAACACTGCTCAGTCCTGCGCCATCCTGACAGTCTTGGCTGTGTTGATACCTACCCCACCTCATATAAGATTCTTACAAAGATTCAACAGTATAAGTGATCATTAAATGTTGATTCTTCACACACTGGTAGGTGAAATGACATGAGCTGTTGGAACATTAATAAATGAGTAGAGAGTGAGTAATAAAACATAAATGGAAACTTAACATATTTCAGAATTGGGGCTCATAAAGCCTGTATTCAGTTGGATTATGTGTTTTAAAACAAACTATCTTAGTTCATGTTGCATTCAACATATAACCTTTTAATTGAGGTATATTGACTAGATGAATTGCAAAGAGAGTGAACCTACACAATATTGCAGAAGTAAAATATGTATATTTAGACATTTTTCTTATTTAGAATCTTCATCTTTAACCTTTAATTTTGAAGATTAAGTATTTGAAAACATATATTACAGAGCCTCCTTTATGGTATGCTGAATTTACCAAAGAAGAATTGGTTCAGAAACTCAATTCCACCACAAAAAGTGCTGATCACTTAAATGGCCTGCTTCGGGAAACAGAAGCAACCAATGCAATCCTTATGGAACAAATTAAGGTAAGTTCAGAAAACGTAGCCACCCAAAAACTACTCTGACCTGATTTGCTTATCTTCCACCACCACATCACTCCTCCATTTAAATATTCACATTTCCGATGCATCCGTAACATCTTGATTCTTCATGATAATAGATTCCTATTAGTTGGGAAATACTGATTGCATTTATAGCTAATATAGAAATACTATTTTAATGCCAATTTTTTCTAAGAAAATGTAAGTTTTAGAAATTAGATAAATGTCCACAAGTCATTGTTTCACATACACTTAAATAAAACTACAAAATATGTGTATTGTTCCTTAAATTCTAAAGATAAACCAGACAACACTTAAAATTCAAATCATTCAGCTGAGGTTTATGGCACTAAATTACTTAACACAGATTATGGATAGAGATGGCAAAGTAGCATAGGAAGTTTTTCCTATTTAAACTAGATAACAAAAACATCCAGGAACAAGGTAAATTGAAGAGTTGTTGAGGATTATTGAAGATGTTTTTAGCCCCTGCTTCCTTGATAAATTACATGTTAGCATATACTCATACTATTTATTGAGTAGTTCTCATGTGATAATATATGATATATATTATCATATTTAATATATATAAAGCATATGTATTAGAGAAAAATTGAATCTGATAAATGGTAGAGCAAAATGCAAACTCATGTCTGAAAAGTGCATGCTGCTTCTTCCCATACCATGCTGTTCCAAATAGATTTGTCCTACCTCTGTGCAAGGATACCAGCTGTCCATGTCAAATTAATTCTTTGTAATGCTGTATTACTTTTTGTAAATGCTTGGATTTTAAAGTAAATTATGGATATCATGACATCCCACTAAAAAATACATTAGTATGCATCTCACAAAGTAGTATTTCATGCATAGTCAAAATAAAATTACTGTAGTGGCTTATGTGTTGCTGTGATGGTGGAAGCTATGCCACTGGTGTTTGAAATATAATCAGGGTCATCCATGGTGGATAGGTCACCCTGTAGCCTCCAGACTAAGAAGAAAGAAGAGGTGGTCCACTTAAGAAAAAGTTAGCCACTGAAAACCTTATGAATAGTGGTGAAACATTGTCTGATGCAGTGACTAAAGATGAGCCCCTCAGGCACTCAAAATGAGACTAAGGTAGAGCTGCCTCCTCAAAGTAGAGACTACCTTAATGACATGGATGGATTAAAGCTTTCAGGCCTTCATTTGCTGATAGTGCACAACTCAAAATGAGAAGAAACAGCTGTAAACATCCATTACTAATCAGAACGTGGAATGTACAAATGATGAATCTAGGAAAATTGGAAGCTGTCAGTAAAGAAATGGAACACATAAAGATCAATATGCTAAGCATTAGTGAGCTGAATTGGACGGGTGTTGGCCATTTTGAATCAGACAATCATATGGCCTATTATGCCAGGAATGACATATTGAATGACATATTGAAGAGGAAGGGCATCAAAGTCATCGTCAAAAAAGAACACTTCAAGGTCTGTCCTGAAGTACAGTGCTGTCACCTACAAGGAAGGTGTTTCACCCACAAGGAAGACCAATTAATACAATTATTATTCACATTTACTCACCAACCATTAAAGCCAAAGATGAGAAAACATCTTTGTTTTTCAACTTCCGTAGTCTGAAATTGACCAGGCATGCAATTAGGATGCATTGATCATTACTAGTGATTGGAATGCAAAAGTTAGAGACAAAGAAGTAGCATCAGTAGTTGGAAAATATGGCTTTGGTGATAGAAATGACGTTAGAGATCACGTGATATAATTTTGCAGGACCAATGACTTACTCATTGCAAATACCTTTTGTAAACAACATATACAGCGACAATACATATGGACCTTGCCAGATAAGATACATAGTAATCAAATTGACTGCATCTGTGGAAAAATACAATGGAGAAGCTCAATACTACCAGTTAGAACAAGATGAGGGGGGCCAACTATGAAACAGAACATCAATTGCTCCTATACTAGTTGAAGCTGAAGAAAATTAAAACAAGTCAATGAGAGCCAAAATATGGCCTTCAGTATATCCCACCTGAATTTAGAGACCATCTGAAGAATAGACTTGACATTGAACATCTATGACCAAAGACCAGATGAGTTGGGGGATTACATCAAGAACATCATACATGAAGAAAGGAAAAGATCATTAAAAAGGAAAGGAAGAGATCAAAATAGATGTCAGAAGAGATTCAGAAGCTTGATCTTGAACAAAGAGTTGCTAAAGTGAATTGAAAAAATGATTAAGTAAAAGAGCTGAACAGATTTCAAAGGGCAGTTTGAGAAGATAGAGTAAAGTATTATAATGAAGTGTGCAAAGACCTGCAGTTAGAAAATCAAAAGGGAAGAACATGCTTGACATTTCTCAAGCAGAAAGAATGAAAGAAAAAATTTAGGGCTTAAGTTGCAGTATTGAAGGATTCTATGAGCAAAATATTGAACAATGCAGGAAGCATCAAAAGAAGATGGAAGAAATACACAGATTCACTACACCAAAAAGAATTGATGGATATGCAACCATTTCAAGAGCTGGCATATGATAAAGAGCCAATGGTATTAAAGGAAGAAGTCCAAGCTCCACTGAAGGAATTGGTGAGAAATTAGGCTCCAGGAATTGATGGCATACTCATTGAGGTGTATAAACAATCAGATGCAGTGCTAGAAGTACTCAGTCATTTATGCCAATAAATTTGGAACACAGCTGGCCAACCAACTGGAAGAGATCCATATTTGTGCCCATTCCAAAGAAAGGTGATCCAACAGAATGCAGAAATTATCTAACAGTGTCAGTGCCACACGCAAGTAAAATTTTGCTAAAGATAATTCAAAAACAGTTACAGCAGTACATCAACAGGGAACTGCCAGAAATTTAAGCCAGTTTCAGAAAAGGACGTAGAATAAGGAGTATCATTGCTGATGGCAGATGGATCTTTGAAAGCTGGTAATACCATAAAGATGTTTACCTGTGTTTTGTTGAGTATGCAAAGGCATTTGTGTGGAGCATAACAAATTATGGATAACATTGGGAAGAATGGGAATTCCAGAACACGTAATTGTGCTCATGAGGAGCCTGTACGTAACCAAGAAACAATTGTTCTGACATGCAGGGGCTACTGCATGGTTTAAAATTAGGAAAGATCAGGACTGTATCCTTTCACCATACTTATTCAGTCTGCATCCTGAGCAAATAATCTGAGAAAGTAAACTATATGAAGAAGTGCATGGCATCAGGACTGGAAGAAGAATCATTAACAACCTGTGATATGTAGGTAAATGAACAACCTTGCTTCCTGAACGTGAAGAGCACTAGAAGCACTTACTGATGAAAACCAAAGAATACAGCTTTCAGTATGGATTACATTTTAACATAAAGAAAACAAAAATCTTCACAACTGGGCCAATAAGCAACATCATGATAAATGGAGCAAAGATCAAAGTTTTCAAAAATCTGATTTTACGTGGATCCACAAATCAACACCCATGGAAGCAGCAGTCAGGAAATCGAACAGTGTAATACATGGGCACTCTGGAGGCGTAGTGCTTAAGGCATTTGACTGCTAACTAGAAGGCTGGTGGTTCAAACCCACCTGGCACTCCTTGGAAGGAAGGTTGGGCAATCTACTTCCATAATGATACCGCTTCGGAAACCCAAGGAAGAGTCACTATGAGTCAGATCTGACTCGACGGCAGTGAGTTTGTTTGGTTTTATTATATTGGGCAAATCTGCTGCAAAAGGACCTCATTAAAGTATTGAAGAGCAAAGGTGTCACTTTGAATACTAAAGTGCACCTGACCTAAGCCATGGTATTTTCAGTAGCCTCATGTGCATATGAGGAGCTCTGGTAGCACAGTGCCTAAGGTTCTTGACTGCTATCCAGAAGACTGGCAGTTCAAACCCACCAGCCATTCCTCAGAAGGAAGGTTGGGCAATCTACTTCCGTAGTGATACTGCCTCAGAAACCCAAGGAGGGGTCACTGTGAGTCGAGTCCAACTCCACAGCACATGACAATAACATGTGCATATGAGAGCTTGTTAGTGAAAAAAGACAATCACAGAAGAACTGATGCATCAATTTGTGGTGTTGGCTAAGAATATTGAATGTACCATGAACTACTAAAAGAACAAACAAATGTGTCTTGGAGGAAATATAGCCAGAATGCTCTTGGCAGCAAGAATGGCCAAACTTCATCTCTTGTACTTTGGTTGTGTTATCAAGACCAAAGTTCCTTGAGAAGAACCTCATGCTTGGTAAAATAGAGGGTCACTGAAAAAGGAGAAGACCCTCAACAAGATGGATTGACACGGTGGCTGCAACGATAGGCTCAAGTATAGCAACCACTGTAAGAATGGTACAGGACCAGGCATTGTTTCATTATACTGTACATAAGGTTGCTATAAGTTGAAACTGACTCAACGGCACCTAAGAATAACAACAAATCACTGGAAGTAGCCTGGTGAACTGAAGTGGCTCTTTATATGTTATATTTTTACAGATTTGTACTCACTCTCCTGATTCCTTAGACATTATTGTCACCTTTAAAAATTATCACAGGTTTTCTCTCAGAGTTGGCCAGCTTTTCTGAACTAACCTAAAATGATGAAATATAACAATATGTAACACTATGTAGAAATACTGAAATAATACAATATGAAATCTTCCTTAAAAACTTTAACATGCCAGAAGCATATCCAATGTTGCAAGAGCTGTGTTGGCTCATAAGAGATAGAGCAGTGGTTGTGTCCCACAGACTCTGGCACTATGAACATATTTGATCGGAAGATCAACTTTGATGCTCTCTTAAAATTTTCCCACATAATCCCCTCGACACAGCAGCACCTGAAGAAGGTCTATGCCAGTTTCACCCTCTGTATGTTTGTGGCGGCTGCAGGGGCTTATGTCCATGTGGTCACTAACTTTATTCAGGCTGGCCTACTCTCTCTGCCTGGGATCCCTGGAATTGATGATGTGGCTTATGGCAACACCTCATAGCCATGAAACTGAGTAAAAAAGATTGGGACTTCTTGCTGGATTTGCTTTCCTTACAGGAGTTGGCCTCGGCGCTGCCCTGAAGTTGTGCATTGCCATCAATCCTAGCATCCTTCCCACTGCTTTCATGGGTACAACAATGGTCTTCACCTGCTTCACCCTGAGTACACTCTATGCCAGATGTCATAGCTACCTCTTACTGGGGGATATCTTGGTGTCAGCCATGAGCCTGATAGTCTTGTCCTTGCTGGGCAACCTTTTCTTTGGATCTGTTTGGCTTTTCCCAGCAAATCTGTATGTGGGGCTGGTGGTCATGTATGGCTTTGTCCTTTTTGATATTCAACTCATTATTGAAAAGGCTGAAAATGGAGATAAGGATTATATCTGACATTGCATTGACCTCTTCCTGGATTTTATTACTTTATTCAGAAAACTCATGATGATCCTGGCTATGAATGAGAAGGACAAGAAAAAAGAGAAGTGAAATGACCATCCAGCCTTTCCCAATTTGACTTCCTCTCCCACCACCCCTCATTTCCTCTTTGTACACATTACAGGTGGCATGATCTGTGATAATGAAAAGAAAGCATAAGAAAAAAAAAAAAAACTTTTAACATTTATCTTTTTCATATCCTTTTGGTACACATTTTCTGGTGGGATTTTATGTTGTGAATTCTCACTCTATCCTGGATTCTGGCCTTTGTTTATGTTAGTGTACTACTCATCATGTATGTTAATCTACTATTCATCATGTGAACATGATTTTACTGTGCACATCTTAACTGACTGATGTTCTGAGAACCAGGAAGGGGAAAGGAGTTAGTGAAGGATGCAGATGGTCACTTCAGCCCAGTTTTCAGACTCTGGTTCATCTGCCTCACAGTGTGTCTTACCCAAGAGTCCTAAACCCCACTGGTTTAGTCTTTATAGAGAATAGAATGGGGAGGGAGAATCATGGCATCATCCTATAGCTCTCATTAAGTAGACTTTTCGTCAGGCTCCCTGTTTTCAACCCAGTTTCCATAATCATGTGCTTCTAGACAAGAGCTTCTCTTTGTTTCTGACAGATGCGTCCTTCCCTTTTATCTTTAGTTCTTGGTAACTGTTAGGCTGAGTCAGCTTCCATTTCTTCACCTGCTTCCCATCTGCTAGGAATTACCTGATATCTGTCTCTTATCACCTCTTTTTCCTCTTCATTATTGTCATTTTTGCAGGGTTCTAGTCTATCATATTTCACCAGAAGTTCCTAAAACCTTTTTTCAACTCATTTCTCTAATTCCAGCTTCTCAAAAGTGAAATAAGAAGATTGGAAAGAAATCAAGAACGAGAGAAGTCTGTAGCTAACCTGGAATACTTGAAGAATGTCTTGCTCCAGTTCATCTTCCTTAAACCAGGTAGTGAGAGAGAGAGGCTTCTTCCTGTTATAGATACAATGTTGCAACTCAGTCCTGAAGAAAAGGGAAAACTGACTGTAATTGCTCAAGGTGCGTGAAAAAGGACTCTTACCTTTTTTATTTTGTAACTGACCTGTTGGGCTTTTGGTTGGGACTTTGTGTATGATTATAATCTTTTTCCATAGCCTAGGCTTTTTCGTATTATAACATTTATTCATTTACATGTTTTCTATCAAATATCTAACGTGCAAACTATTGAAAAGCTGACATTTTAACAATACGGGGCAACTGTCTGTCATACATTATAAGGACCTCTGGTGGTGTAGTGGTTAAGATACTTGGCTGCTGTTCTGGTTACCTAGTGCCACTCTGACAGGAATATATCACAAATAGGATGCTTGAACAAACAAGAGTTTATACTCTTACATTTCAGGGGGCTTTAAGTTCAAGTTCAAAGTGCCAAGCTTTAGGGGCTGGGTGAAAGTCCCTCAACCTTGGGGTCCAGCTCCGCCTCCTGCTCCTGGCCCACTGGAGCTAGAGGCGTTTCTTCACTCAGACAGCTGCTGGCTGCTGAGGCTGAAAAACCCAAGGTTGACAAGTAAAAAGGCACAGTCCTGATGCTACCAAACCACACGGCAGGCCATTAACTTTTAAGTCCATTGTAAGTCCCAAGGTCGACAGAGCATAGCAGGCTGCTGAACAGTGACACAGCTACATGCAGGGTCCAAGTGTGGCACAAGCTAGAGACCATTTCCAAAGCTGCTTATATACAGGAAGTAGACCACATACCCAAAGCAGTTACTCAGCTGCTTGTGGTAGATTCCACCATGGAATTGTTTGCCAGGCTCATCATGGGGAATAACTACCACCAGCTGCCCAGTCACTCAGCTAGGCCCAGCCAAGTTGACACACAAACATAACCACCACAGCTGCTAACCAGAAAGTCAACAGTTCAAACCCACCAGCTACTCTGCAGGAGGAAGATGAGTCAATCCACTTGCATAAAGATTTATAGCCTTAGAAACCCAATGGAAGTCACTGTGAGTTGGAATTAACTCAATTACAGTAGGTTTATGGTACATTATAGGGCAACTATATTACATGAGGGAGCTCTGGTAGCATAGTGCCTAAGGCACTTGACTGCTCACCAGAAGGCTGGCGGTTCAAACCCACCAGCCACTCCTCGGAAGGAAGGTTGGGCAATCCTACTTCCATAGTGATACTACCTCGGAAACCCAAGGAGGGGTCGCTATGAGTCAGGGCCAACTCGATGGCAGACAACAACAACAACATATTACATGTGAAGAAGGAGCCTTGGTAGCACAGTAGTTAAGTGCTTGAGTTCTAACTGAAAAGTCAGCAGTTTGAATGTACCAGCAGGAGAAAAAGATACTGCAGTGTGCTTCTGTAAAAATTATACCCTAAACTTTAAGAGATGGTTCTACTCTGTCCTATTGGATCCTGCTAAAGGGGCAGGGAGGCTGCATCTTATGACCTCCTCTAACCCCACAAGAGGAAGACAGAATCACCATCAGTAGCCCAAGGCCTATCCCTGCGAAGCCAGACATGCTACCTCCCTCCAGCCCTGTCACCAACCCAGACACCAACCGTTCCTCCCGCAGTACCCACCACCTTTCTGCTGGGTTCAATAATTTGCAGTGGCCATACAGAACTCACAGATTATGGGGTTTGTTAGGGAAGCAACAGGCTACAATTCAAGTTCAGAAATGCACTTGTCTTTCACAGCCAGCCATCTCCCTTAGCAGGCAGCAGTCTCTCTCGCAGCACGTGCTTACACCTCCCTCTCAGCAAGCATGTGTCTCTCAGCAGCACATCTTTCTCAGCCAGCAGTCAGAGGGACTCCTTCTGCCTCTAGGAGCTCCTGTTGAGCCTGGCAGAGTGGCCAAACTAACCAATCCTAACATCAGAATTCTATACACCTAAGGGAGAGAGAACTTCCCAGAAAATTACTTCCTGCTGCTCCCAACAGAAATACTCCAGGTAGATAACTTTAACAATCAGGAGCTACTCAGTTGCTCATGGCAAAGTCCACCACGGAGTTTACAAAGACTTAGACCTAGAAAAGCCACACTATATGATTTACTATACTGAGGTCCCTGAGTCAGAATTAACTCTATGGCAATGAGTTTTATATAACATGTTTATAATTTTAACATTCAGTAAAATAAAATATAGTACTTAGTCTGGTCTACTACATCTTTAAAATTTGGATTGTTGATCCTGGGCTTTGGTTCTATCAAAGAATATGGTTTTATCTTACATTACACTTTTTAATGTGTGTTGCCATGTTCCTCTCCTATTTCACCCTTCTTCCTAACTAACACTTCCAAATAGGCTAAGAGCAACAGATAGCCATATGGTCAACACTGGTCCATATCTAGCAGCCATTTTCCTACGTGAATACAGCTCTATTTAGAGTTTATAGAATCAGCTTATCAACTTGAGGACAACAGGTTTGGTTTTCAGGTTTATTTTCTTACCCACTAGATTAAATGCTGTGATTTCATAAATTCCTCTGAAATGCTTCACATTCAGCTGCTATAGTTTCCTGATTTCAAACTTTTTTTTTTTTTAATTTTATTGTGATTTGGGTGAAAGTCTGCAAAGCAAATTCAATTTCCATACTGCAGTTCACATACACTTTGTCTCATGACATTGACTGCAATTTCCCACAATGCAACAGCTCTCTTCTCACTTCCACTCCATACTTACCTCTTCCCTGTGTCCTTCCCTCCCATGCTCTCCTGCCCTACAAACTGTCTCCCTGTGCATAACCAGCCCTTCTATTCTCCCATGATTGGTCTCTCCACAGAGTGTATCTATTTAATGTAAATGTTCAGCTCATATGCCTGTCTGTTGTTTGGCTGGAAGCCACAGGAGTGGGTTCAATTCCAGACCTGAAGGGCAGGTAGGGGCCATAGTCTCAGGGGTTCCACCAGGCTCTATAAGACCAGCAAATGTGGTCCCTTTTTTTTTTTTTTTTTTTTTTTTTAATGAATTTGAGTTTTGTTCCAGATTGTTCTTGCACTCTATCCAGGATGTCCTGTATAGATCCCCCTCCGAGTGGTTGTCAATGGTAGTCGGGCACCATCTACTTCTTCTGGTCTCAGTCATAGTCATATAGGCTAAGGATCACATAGTGTACTAGTCCCTTGGGCTAACTGTTTCCACACATATTTGGTTTTCTTCATTCTTCTGTGCTCTGGACGAAGAGAGACCCATCGTTGCATCTAGATGACTGCTTGGAAGCTTTTAAGATCCTGGTCACTACTTGCCAAAGTAGAACATGGAACAGTGTTTTTGTTTAGTTTTTTAAGCAAATTGAACTTGATGTCTCCTGTGACCATGGTCCTGAGCCCTCAGGTCCAACTGCTCACTCCCTCAAGGTAGCTGGCTGTGACCAAGAAGTGACTACAACCTTGTCCCTTGTCAGCTCTACTATATACCTGGAAATTTTTACATAACATACAAATACACTTGTAGAAACATTGTCTACTAGCCCTATACATGGTCATGGGCATGCTCCCCCCCCTGCATAGAAATACCTAATCATTCAGCCTGTCCACCTATCTACCCACCCTAGATAATGTTTGCCATCACTGATGGCGCAGCACTGTGTGTGCAAAAGTGTTCATCTTTGTTGTCTATACCTCCCACACACCTCTCTGTGTCTTCTTCTTCCTTAGTGCCACTATGTTGATCACTCATATTTGGTACATTGGCCAATACTTGTCACTACCTATCTAGCAGTGTTCCCACCTTACCCCTCTCCTGGTAACCAATAAAGAAAACTTCCTTCCATATATAAACATTTACTAGACTTTTTACAATAACGAACTAATACATATTTGTCCTTCTGTGGTTGATTTATTCACTCAGAATAATGTCCTCCAAGTTCATCCACGTTATGCAGTGTTTTGCTGATTCTGTTATTCTTTAGGGTTGTATAGTATTCCATTGTGTGTTATGTACCATAGTTTAATTATCCATTCTTCTGTTGATGGACACCTAGGTTGTTTCCATCATTTTGCTATTGTAAATAGTGCTGGGATGAACATGGGTGTGTACATATTTGTTTTTGTCCTGGCTCTAACTTCTTTAGGATATATACCTAGTAATGGAATTGGTGGGTCAAATGGTATTCTAATTCCAGCTTTTTAAGGAATCACTATACTGCTTTCCACAGTGGTTGTATCATTTGACACTCCCACCAGCAGTGTATGAGAGTCCCAGTGTCTCCATGTCCTCACCAGCATTCTTACAGCACATACAAATATGTGTGCAGAAATTTTGTCTGCCAGACTTACATATGGTCATGGGTATATTCCCTTTTGCTTACTCATATGTGATCATTTAGCCTGTCTATCTATGTATACCCCATATAGTAGGATTTGTTATTAACTGATAATGCAGTATTGTGAATGTGAAAGTTCTACCTCCATTGTCTGTGCCTCTTGTGTACCTTTCTATGTCTTCCTTTCCCTTACTGTTATTGTATTGGTCACTTACTTTTGGTATATTGCCTTTCCCTTCACCCAAGTCAGTACTTGTCTCTTACCTATCTAGCTATTTTCCCTCTGCTCCCATCCCATCCCTGATACCCAACAAAGAAAGTTTCCTTCTATATGTAAACCTATATATCCTAAGTATATGTCCTAAGGAATTTTTCTGCAAATGGATATCCAGTTTAGCCAGCACCATTTGTTAAATAAGCTGTCTCCTCCCCTATTTAATGTATTCTGGCCCTTTGTCAAAGATCAGCTGAACATAGATGGATGGATCTATTTCTGAGTTCTCAGTTCTATTCTACTGGTCTGTTGCTATACAAATAGCAGGCTGTTTTGACCACTGTGGCTGTATAGCATGACAGAACTTTTTTTTCATTGTGATTTGGTTGAAAGTTGTACAGAGCAAATTCATTTTCCATACAACAGTTCATGCACATTTTGTTTGATGACATTGACTGCAATTCCCCTTATTGTAACAGCTCTCTTCCCCTTTCCTCCCCATAGTTACCTCTTCCCTGTGTACTCCTTTCCCATGCACTCCTGCCCCTGAGCTCTCTCCCT